CTCCACAGTTAGTTTCAGCCTCCCGCTACCTTGCTCAAGTGTGAGCTTACGCCCTAGCTCACTAAGACATAAACTGCTAAAACCAAAGTATGATCCATATTATGTTAACCAGAAATTTTTAAAGATGTCATTTAAATATTTTTCTTCCATCTGTTGTAATTTGGAGGAAATTTATCTTTCAAACAATGTTGCTTTGCTGTTTTAAAATCGTTGTGGGTTCATACAGAGAAGCAGATGAGAGGCCCCACTTTTACGAAAAGTCTCAGCCAGAAATATTGCTGATGGTTTGAAAATAGCAACTCCAAATCAATAGGAAATTGTCCTGTATACTCATCAGGAGGAACACAGCACTCAGGAGAGCTGGCCTCTGAGATGAGTTAAACTTGACAAATAGTCTGAGATGGAAACAAATGTAGAAGAGGAACAGAAGAGCTGTTGATTGTCCAAAGGTCAATTAACAGCTTTTCCCATCTTGTTATATTTTACTACTTTTAAAGATGCAGAGAAAATGTTCTTTTAATGTCCCAAACAGATACAGAGGCAGAAGGAAGTACATGGGTAGAATGTTTAAGGCCATATTATCCTCTTCCACACTCACTTCTATACCTACAGCTTCCAAACGGGCAGCAGAAAACGAATCTAGGATTCCATAAGAGAGAAGATAATGTGAACAGCAATGAGCAAGTGAATTAAGAAGTAAAACAGTCTCCATTTACAACTTCTTGAAGTTCAGGATGCAGGAGACTGCACTTAAACTTGACAATCAACTGTGACAGAAGATTTCCCACTACAGTAAGCAAAGAAATAGCTTGAAGTCAATGGATAAGAGCTCCAGAAGAGATGGTCAGAGCAGGTGCAGAGAAATTCTCTGCATGTAAGGTGGGAATGTGTGGGCTTTATTTGGTGACTTTTAAAAACCTACCAACGCCAATTAGGAGTGATCAAGATTATTTTCTCATCTCACTTTGATGTATAATGCCTGCTGTGAACATACATGTCATATTTCAAGGCTGTAGAGAAACATTACATTATTCCTGATATTCAGGGCCACAATGCTTGTTACTGGAGATGGTTCATAAAATGTCTGCCAGGTGGTGAATCTGCCAGATCCATTCAAAGTTAAAGCTTCAAATATTGCAACACAGAGCTGCTGCACAATAAAATATATATTACTATCATCAGTACCCAATCATCAATTTCATGACAATTCATGATTTGGCATGATAATCCATTAACAAATATGAAGTCTGGGTGTACTGAATCTGGACACAGTTCCCTTCATTTATATTCATCTAATATAAATATGTGGGTTTTTGAAATATATGTAAAACTTCCCTACCTGGATTCTACATTTTTTTGGTGTTCTTACTGTGTGCGCAATAAAATTATTTCTGTGTGATAAGAAAAGCAACTTTCTCAAATCATTTATAAATGGCTTATACTATTTCAAAGGGACCAACTCCCTTCCCAATCATATATGCTTGTATGAAGTTAGTACTTTGTACAGTTGATAGTCATTTGAAAATTTTTAATAATGTTTTTATGGAGGTAATTATCCTGCAAGTGCTACTTCATATGAATCTAGTTGATGCACAAATTCTTCATTAACTCAAGGTGGAATAAAGAGCCCAGGGTTAGCACCTGACTATCTTTATATGGAAGGAAGGACAGTGCAACAGACTCAGTCTACACCATTAAGATTGGCTGGATGGACAATCACAAACGTGCAGAGGGAAAGATTTTGATGGTTCCAAAGCTAATGCTTCAAGTGGGTTAAACAACCATTATCATATCTTGGAAGGATCTTTGACATATAATCAATAAGACAAACAAGAAGCAGCCTTAAGAATACCACAACCTGCCTCTAAGAACTCCATCACTGAAGGGCTCTCTCAGCTTAATTTTAAGCTATCTCACTCTATATTTACATCAGAGAATGTAAATAATCTCAACCAGTTTGTTATGCCTATCAGTCCTCCTTAATGCAGGCTATCTCTGATTTATGAGTTCAGATCTGATTATGTAACCTCTGGCTTTGGATCGTTTTATTTTAATTGCCCAAACTTGGAACCACTTCAGATCATTATACATTAGGCAAAGGTCAAGGAGGAGGTAACGATTGTAGATGAGTGTTTGAGGGGAGCAAAAAAGAACTACTCATTCAAACATTTTTATAGATATACCATTGAGTGGTCTCATTTACTCATTAATACAAATTATCACTAATATTCAGGTTTAGTTGCTGCCTGCAAATCAAGAGGCCCATCAGATAGCTGAAATTGCCTAAAACTAAGCCCTGGACTATCTAGCCTGGATCACTCACCCTGACACACCTGAACTCCATTACCCGCATATACCTAATGGTCCTAGCATCTAACTTCTATCTCCCTTGCCTAACTTAAGCCCCTAAGACTGCTTGAAGGCTACCATGTCTACAGTGCGATCAAACATACCAATAAACACTTTAATCAGCCAGGTTCAGGCTGTAGTATCTTATCCCTCTTTGTGATAGGTTCATATAAACAGTACTAGAAACGCAGGCGCGCGCGCGCGCACACACACACACACACACACACACACACACACACACAGGTGTTCCCATGAATGTGCAGGGTAGGGCTTGATGTGAGAACTTTAGGCACATAATTCTTACTCACTTGTTCCCTCAGACATGGAGCAGTATTATTAATCCATATATTATGAAATTCAGAAACTGCTTAAATTTTTAGACAAAAGAGACATGGTGGAAACTGTAGCACTCACAAGAATTCATCCTAATATATGCCATCTTAAACAACTGTGTACTGTATTCCTCGATGTCTTTCATGCAAGGAGGGCAACTCAGTGATACATTCTATTATAAACTTTCTTCTTGTAATAATGTTTTTCTCTTTAAAGTGTAGTACCCTTTGACTATGAGACAAGAATTATCTTTTATGATTTCCTTTAAAACCTGCCAGCCAGGAACCTTAGACATAAATTAAATGCTAATTCTCAGAACACTTGTTGACTGAGATTATGGAATTATGATTGCTTGTCACATTCTCATGCTGCGGTCTTTAGCTTTTAATCTTGTTAGCCTTATTCTAAATCTGAATTTTATTATAAGCCACATTACATTATTAGATAAAATAGTTTACCAATTTAATTTTTAAAAGTAACCTCAGCATTGTTCTATTTTGATGCTTCGTTCTGTTTCATTTTGTTTTGGTCTATTCTCTTTAAAATAAAAAAAAAAATAAATAAAAATGTAACCTCAACAAAAAATCAAATTCCACATCTCAGATAATATGATGTGAACCCACTAAACATAATGATAAAATTATGAATATAAAATTTACAATTCAATATGATAGTTTGATTCTGAAAATTATTTGTACGATTATTCAGTCACTGACAATAACCAAGGATGATGAATTATAGGTATATTCTGTAATTCACACAATTTTACAAAGACTTAAATTAACAACAGTGTTTGAACAGACATACTAGAAATACTTTAAAAACTAAAGTTTAAAATGTGAAAGCCTATCAGAAATGGTTCAGTAGAGGTATTGAAATTATTGTGTAATTATCTGCTATCTATGCTTGCCTCTGTTTTTTGCTAATTTACACTATTTGTCTGGCTGTAACTGGACCTGAACTTTACTATGTTTCAAGGAAGTTTTACATAAAAAAAGATTAGATTAGAAAAAAATCCTCACAAAAATAAGATGCAATTGTGCATCCTGTTAATTGTGTACATGACTATTTTCTTTCAACCTAGTAGTCTCAGTTGTCATCTGATTTATAGTAGATGGCCCGGCATCATCTGAAAATGTGTCATGTGTCTTGCATCATGAAAATCAATAATCTGATTGTAGACATGCATCAATTAGCACAAAGAGAAAGATCTGCTGCCTCCTTTCCTATATCACTACAACAGCAAGGATTACATAACAGTGTTTCTTTTAAAGTCAGTTTGTGGGGAAGTAGGATCGATTGTTACCAGTAGAGACACATAAAATGAAATTCCCATTAAAGAAGTGAAAAATTAAGAATAAAGTGGGATAAATAATAAATTGTGTCGGGTGGAACATGCATTTGTTAAAGTACTGATTGGTGCATTTATACCATACCTGTGTATTAACAGAGGCTTGAGATGTTGAACAGAATGTTAAACTAAGATGCTGAACACAGAGGCATCATCCATCCTTCTTCCCCTTTTCATCCAAGAAACCTCTGAACCAAAACCACAATGCCAACTGAATTAGCTATGGAAAGCTAAATGACCTGGAGGAAATATTTTGGTTTCTCCCAGTAATACATGTAAAATTAAGTTCTTAGGTAAACTTCAAAATGAGGAAACCCTTCAAATCCCAGGAATAATTTAAATTGTCCTTCACAGGGAACCTGGACCTGGTCCCCAAAACTCAGAAGTGTGTATTTATTGCATAGAACTTAGTGAATTTTAAATTAACAAGTTTGAACTGTCACTTGAAACCATACTAAGTATGATGAGAATGGAAAATTCTGAATGTGCTAGAATGAAATCTAAGAAGAGCTACTTTTTCAGAACCCACCTTTGAAAATCTAAATGAATCTTTTCAAAAGACAGTAATTCTTTTTGTTTTAATCTCTTATAAATGAATAAGAGTTATCTGAGTAATTAGAACCACAATCTCGATCCTAAAACAGGATTGTGATGGCCAGGTAATTTCATCCTCCTGGCTGATTTTACACAGAATATGCCCACAGGCTGCAAAACCCCTGGGAATTCAGTGAAAGACTCTTTGGAAAGCCACTAGGGAAGAAAACACAACCAGCTTCAATAAAGCCCACATTATGTCAGGTGCAAATGGAAAGTTTTGCAAAATCGGACCAGATATAATAGGATGGTTTGGCCAGAATGAAAGGTCTAAATTGCTGGGAAATCAGCTGGTCAAATCCAACAACGGGAATTCAACCCAAAGTTTTAGTGGTGCAGAGATGTCCCCCCAGAAGCTGCTTCACCACAATACCTGGAGAACTGCCCCTGCAGACCTCTCATCTGAGCTCTGTTACGCTCCGACTCAAGGGTAACTTCCCGCAACCGCTTCTCACTTTGAAGACGCAAGTGTCTCTCCTCTTCCAATTCACGTATCAGCTTCTCATGCTGTGAAAGGCATAAAGGGATGATTTTTAACAAGGTGTCTATGATAAAAACAATGGTCACAGATGTTGGTTCCTAAGACTCAACTTGAGAAAGATAGACAGACAGACAGACAGACAGATACTTTTCATACTGATAACAACCCCATGAAGTAGGTTCTGTTATTAATCCTTGTTACAGAACAGAAAACCAGGGATCAAAGAAATGTAGATAATGTGCCCAAGATCACAGAAACCAGAAGGTAACAGGTTTTGAATCCTGGCCAACATGACTGTGATACTTGAATAATTTCTATTAAACTAGGTGACTTCCTATGAAGAACTATGACCACAAATAATATCAAAAGCACAGAAATTCACACAATAATTAATAAGAGGATGACTGTCTATTCAAAATTATTTCATCTCTTCAACTGATGAATCATGCTTTTGAGAGAACACTACTGGTTTTTTACTTTTATTTTTTATAGAAGGATCAAGAATTTCAAGCTAATTAGACCATAGAGTTGAAGAGAATGAGATTAAAGAATTAGTTTTAATTTTGTCCAGTTAGGTTTTCAGAGATAAAAATAAGCAAACCTCTCATGGATTTTATAATCCTAGAAACTAGCTCATCTCATCAATGGGCATAAGGGATTAAAAGGAGGCCTAAGTGACCCAGAATAGATGGTTCTGCACACAGCTGAGATCCTACTGATAATACTGGCTCTGCTATCTAATATCTTCTTTGTTTGCATTTTGCTGTTACTGCCTTTTTTGTAAGTGTAACATGCGTCATAATTATTGCTGTTGCAACTGAGCCTTTTGCATAGAGAATACACAATTTTATGACAAAAATCAAAAGCAGTGCTACATTGTGAGGGACATACATTCTTGAAGGGAAAGAAGGTAAGTAGAGTCCTTAGTGTTAAAATAAGTAAGGCACTATGACTCAGTCTCGTGGATTACTCAGGGTTAAATATGATCTATTCATGGGGCAGAGTCACCCTAAGTGATAGCAAAGATTAATTTCCTTCAGCTCTAACTTACAAGCAAAAAGTTACTCTGAGAACCATGAAGAAAACAGATTATAATCTACAAATGCATCATGAACCTCTAAAAATACTTACACATTCCTCTGACTCTGCATCTTTGACCATGCCCTTGCTACCACTTCAAAAGCTCACTGAGGTCTCAATTGAGAGGCTAGCGTACCACACAGGCTCAGCTTTCTGCTATGGCCTCTGGAACTCTCTGCTTGTCACTTTATCATTCTCTTTCTATCTTGAATTCTAACAGCACCTACTGTGTTTAATACCCTTGAGTCCTTCATTTCTTCGGTTATTTTTACCTGCACTTATCATAATTATCCAGGTAGGTAAAGATTGTTCAAGATTACAACTAAGCAAAAATGTACTTTGTATTTGTCACCATGCTGCTTAATACACAGCAGTGCTGGAAATGTATCTGTTTATTGATTCTGCAGCTGGTCTTTAGCTTACCCCTCACATGGACCATTTTTAACACCAGAATGTGTTTCTATTAATCAACACCAGAAAGGAATCAAAGTAAAGTATTTTTTCTGTTACTTTGGACAATTGCTCAAAAAAAATACAAAGATAAAAGTATTAGTATAAGTTGATGAGCAAAAATCAAACTGACATTTTTACTTTGGAAGTTTGGGAAAGGTAGTTTAATAACATGAATATGCTAATTAAAGCCAATTCCATAGAAACAGTTAAAATATCAATAATAAAAAATTAAATATTGAATCATTGGACATGACATTGCCTTCTGTATTGACCTACTGACCTAGGAGCTACATAGCAAGTGATCTTTGTAACAGAATTTGGAAAACTATACTTTGATTCCAAAAACACAAAGGGAAATTGCATGTTAACTAGATCGAAAGCACATGCTATGAAGTACGTGAAGTTTTTGCAGAGAAACCGCTACATTGTCTTCAAAAAAGCAAATATTACACAGTTGCAATTAATGCCATATTGAAGAGTAACAATATCTCATAAGAGAGAATCTTTTCCACATGAATAATCCTTTCTGTTCAGTTTATTGGTGCCTTTTCAAACATGGACAAAAAAACACACATATACCCAATAGCAAGGAATTAATTTCAGCAAAGGGAAACCTTTACTAAAATATATTCCCTTCAAACATTGTGTTTCGATTAATCCATCAAAACTTGACAATAATTCACACCTGCCCCTCTATCCCAAATGCATAAGGTTTGTTTGTCTGATTTATTTTAAATCACTAAAAGTGGAAAGAGATATCTATAGCTTGTCTGGAATTACTTTATTATTTGGTCCTGGGTATAAATTTTTCTCCCACAGGTTTTCCAGCAAGGAGAGGGAAAAGGAGTATGGCGTTCACAAATTGTTTTCATCTTCCTTACTGTAGTCCTTTCAAGACAGCAGTCTTACTTACTGGTCCCTCCACTGAATATAGAGGGGTAAAGACAGGAGAAGCTTGCCCAGGTTACAGTGTTAGAAATGGCAGCTCTGAAACTAGAATTAAGTTTTTCTAACCCCTTTTTTCTTTATACTAGAGGCAGTTCTGCTATTTTAAAAGTCAATTTTTTTTCCAAACGCAATTGATAAATCAGGGCATAGTCCAGGAGTGACACATATCTCACATTTGCTTATACCAGATTTCATTCATGACAAAAAAGTAAGTAAGCACAGAAAGTATTCCCAGCTGAACCAAGATGTGGATAAACACAAAACACACATTTCAAACAGACCTCAGGCTACCATGCATATTATGAGCCACACTCATCCACATCTGCGCTACAGCTTTCCCTCTGATTTCAGGCAGCCTTCCCTTCCATAATTTAAGAGCTCACAAGCTACATTTTCTAATCCCTACTTCTGATTCCCACAATCAAACTGCAAGTCTTTTTCAAGGTAAAGTATCAAATATATTGTAGCATTTATACGTCTGTTAACAATTTAAAACATGGAAAGCTTAGCTGTTTGGGTTGGCTTATTTCAGGTGTCACTGACAAAGCTTTTAGCATTGCTCCTCTCACTCCACTCCCTTTCTAAGCGCTGTGGTTTCTATTGTGTGGTTTTGCAGAGCACAGTGATCTTTAGAAACATATGTCATATTACAACAGCACAGGGTATACATCATGATGGAGAAAAAGAAATCAAAAGCAAGAACAGAATTCTAAAGCACTTTCCTATCTGAGGATAAGCAAAGAGTTGAGTCCTACACAAAGAATCAAACATTAAAACAAGAAGGTGTATGAAGTCCAAGTCTGTGTTCTACAAATGATCTTGTCTGTACCTCAGAGCCTTCACCCAGCCACACAGGTTAGGCTGCTTCATGCCTAACTTAGGTCTCTTCTGATTAAACCTCAGAAAAAGAGAGTTTCTTTGTAACTCAGTTTAATTTTTTTAACTCTTTGCCTGATAATTTTCTAAGTGTTGCTCAAATCATTCAAATATCAGGTCATTTCTACATGTATGTTTCCAGAAAGGAAAAAAATCTACATAAATTATGATTAGTTTAATAGAGAAGTATGCTGGGGAAAGGAGCTATATACCAATATCACCAGTTCATTCATTCACTCAGACCACAAATGCTTACTGAAGAATTACTCCGTGCCAACACTGGACAAGCTCTGGAGACCAGCAGAAAGCGACATAGGCTTGGATGCTGATTTCATGGACTGTTAAGAGGAGGTGTTAGGTAAATTACTGCACAAATAGATGTAGCAGGATAAACAGATGAGTAATTAAGGTTTGCTAAAAGATGTTAGCAAGAGGCACTGGCTTTGTGTAATGGGTCAGCGGAGGGCTTCTCTGAGGAAGTAACAGTGGCACCGAGTCCTCTATGATGACTGGGAGATTCCAGGTGAAGAGAGAAGATCAACAGGTCAGGTAGAGTAAGAAACAACTGTGAAGTCCTTTGTCACACGTGTCTGGAAAGAAGGGGAGCCTTGTGTGGCTGGAGCCTGGGAGGCAAGGACATAGTTGCAGCACATGACACAGATGGAAGGGAAGGCAAGCTGGACCATGGAGAACTTTGAATTTCCCGCAGAGAATCTGGGATGGTGTCCTGAGGAAAATAGTACCTTGATACCAAGGTTTAATTATGAGTGACAGGATCTGATTATGATTTTGCAAACATCATTTTGACTGCTATGTGGATAAAGAACTAAATTGAGACCAAATAAGAGAATGAGAAATTATTGAAGTAGAGACTAGTGAATGTTCTTGGCTTCCAGTTTGACTTGCAACATTTACTAAGCAAGTAGTTTCTTTTGTTTTTATTTTTTTAATTTTTTTTTTTTTTTTTTTTTTTTTTTTTGTCTTTTTTGAGCCAGGGTCTCGCTATGCAGTTCAGGCTGGCCTTGAACTCACTTTGTAGCTTAGGCTGGTCTTAAACTCGCAAGGATCCTCCTGCCTCAGCCTCCCTAGTACTGGGATTACAGGCATGAGCCACCACACCTGGCAGCAAGTAGTTTCAAAAAAGCCATCTAACTTAAAACTTCATTATTTTAAGCCCACTTCCTTTGTATATTGGGAAAAGTGAACTCTGCCTAGCCAATTTAAAGCACTTCTAGGAGATCTGAACAAAACAATATACAGTAAAGCACTAAACTAGTGTAAAAATAAGACTAACTGAATAATTCTGCTTATATCATCTAAAGTAGTTCAGCTATTTTTAATAACTTCTATAGAAATTTTAGTCTTTAATGATCTACATATTTTAAAGAAATACTGTAATTATATTTCTTTATTCTCTAATTATTTAGCTATGAAATTTGTGTTAATTTTAACCAGATAAAAATGTTCAAAAATATGTTTTAGGTAGATCATATATTACTAATGAAAGAAAATACATTTTAAATTACATTTTAGTGTAAAAATAGAGAAACTGACTTCATTATAGATGCCACCTCGAATGTACATAGCCCGTGTTTTTGGCCTACCTAAAAGATATATTTTAATGCCATTATCTAGTAAAGTTTCAAACAGATGGCTTCATGTATGGTGT